CTTAACGAACGAGCCGAACACGAGCTGCTTAACGAGCCGAACACGAGCTGTTCACGAACAACGAGCCAAATTGACAGCCCTACCAACAAGGATGATGTTGCAAGAGAAGTTATCTTTTACTTATCCACTTTACTCAACATCCATGTGTTATTTCTACTCTAATCTCCCTAGAAGACGTTTATATCTAACTTAGATATAAACATATATAATATATTATTATATAAATAAGTCAAAACACGAGCGAATAAAGAGCTGTTCGTGTTCGACTCATTTACTTCACGAATGAGCCGGACACGAACTGTCTGCGAACAACGAGTTTTTTTGACAGCCTTGCTTCCAATATTTCGAGTTTCACTCGATCTTCCATTCATCTGAATTAGTTGACCTCAACCCTCACTTCTCCCAAGGAAATAAAAATGCTTGATTAGTTGCAAAGCTAAAATCTTGGGAAGAGCACCCACAAAATATGGAGGTTTGGATTAAGAAAAAAAATTTATCTTGTTTTCAAATATTGCACATAAATAATTTATTTACAATAATTTAATATATTTTTTTTAAACTATATAAATGTTGCATTCAAGGGGTCGTATATTTCTATATCCCTAAAGTTAACAAATTATACAAATCTGACTTCCACGATTCATTAGAATTATTGGTGTAGATTCTCATCAGAAGCAAATTTTGAATGAACGACTGATTTAATTACGTTGGCATTCGGTTTGGTTAATATTTTATGGTGAATAATTGAAGGCTTTTTTTGTCAAAATGTCCATATCTTTTTGATTTAGAGGGAGGATGGAAAGATATCAACCCTATCCGTTTTATATTAACATAAAATAAAATTAGATGATGTATATATGTTAAAGATTATGAAATTTACATATTTAATATTTAAGTGTTATCATGTTTATATGATAAAACGATCCGTTGGATTTTCGACGAACGACACGTCAATTTCGACTTGTTAATGAGCCTGCAAGTCCAGCTTATTAAGCTGCAAGCTCGAGCTCATCAAGGTTTGGTTTGTTAGCACGCAAGCCAGCTAGACTAGCTGGATTTCAATAACGTTAATGCATTCTCCAACGAGTAATAGCAGTATTTCTCGTTCTCTCCCACCATCAATCACTTAGATGGCTTCTTCGGTGAACTTTCATGGCATTTCATGCGAGCCCACGAGCCCGCTACTGGTTGCTAAGCATTCTGTCGTTCGCACTACTTGATGAATATAAAGCTATGGTTTCAAAATTTATTGCATCTAACCTTTGCAATTGACTCCACTAGAAATATTGTTTAGTTGGGGTTGAGTTTTTTAAATATTCAATATGAATTAGTTCTCCAATTCATCAACCAATCATCAAAATCAATCAACCTAATGCACAACCCTAAGCTGAGATGTAAAAATCAGGCAGGCAGGTTGGCAGGCAGGCAGACGGACCTAATGATATGAAAGTTAGTCTAATACAAGTCAAATCAAGCCCAAATCAAATCATTAAACCACTATTAGAGGATTTTCAGAGGCATTTAAAAGGTCAAACGAATGTCGAATATAACGAGTTCATTGTTGAATCGAGTGTCTCGACAAAATGAATCCAACGAGCCCAAGATTGCTCAATTCCGACATCGTTAAGACACTCCAATGTCCATCAAACGTCATCTGATCAAAGGAAGCTCTCCGGACCGTCCGATCAAAATTGTTCATATTCCTGCATTAATTGCACTCAAAACACTATAAATAGAGTCTCACCCCTCAAATGAAAGGGAGAAGACTTAAGAGAGAACTTGAGGCTTTGAGAAATAGCTCAAGTCCAAGATCATCATCGCCATCATCGATCGTCGTCGATCACCACTGACCGTCGACAACCACCGTTGACCTCCGTCGATCACCGCTGTCTTCTGTCGACCACCGCCGACCGTCATCGATTATCGTCAACTATCGTCGATCACCGCCGACCTCCGTCAATCACCGCTGACTAGACGTCGTCAGTCAAAGTTGTAATTTGGAACTAGTAACACTTTCCCGCCTGTGGGACAAGAGAATCTGTAATCATCAACTTATAGTGGATATTTACAACTGGGCCAGACCCCGTGGTTATTCCCCTTTACGGGTTTTTCACGTAAAAACTTCTGGTGTTATCACAGCTTGATTCATTTTCATCTGAGTGTGTGCTGAACCCTCGCGCAACGCTTAGACGATAATCCATTACTCTACCGCCGTAAATTTTCTAGCACGCATCAAGGAAAATGCAAGTAAAATGACTGTTTCACATCATTGTACAAGCATGGTATTAAAAGTCAAAAAGAGATAAATATAAACATCAAACATTGTCAGATATGTAAAAACATAAAAATTATGTGGTATGTATATAAACTTCCCATCAACACCACTCAACCTTTATAATTAGCAATATTTTGCCTTCTTTAACTCTACAAAGTCAATAAAGCTATGAAAACCTTTCACGAGTGTGAGCCTGAAGGAGGGTCACAGGAAGCCCGAGGCTTGAGCTTTATTTACATATCAATCAGTCCCCCAAGAAATTAACATTGACATATTTACCTCTAATTGCCTCGTTGACTTCATAAACCCATTCATTTTAAATATGATTGTAATAAAGACTAATCAATTAACAAAATAAATGGCATTTATGATAACCTAACCTGGCACCGTATGCCAATCCTATTTCAAGCCAGTTTCATGAATCTTTCCTTTTCAGTCCTATTTAATCCAATCAGATAATGGAAACTCATGGAATTAAAGGAAAAAAAGAAGTTGATTAATAGCTATAATTGTTAGCAGGGGCGAAACGAGCCTTCTTTTTAAAGGGTGCAAATTGCCCCCAGACTCCACATGGGAAGGGGTACAACAACGAAGGACAATAATATTTCAGGAAGCTCAAAACTAATATTTCAGAAGGGCAAAAGACCAAATTGATCTCTATATAAATAAAAATCTGAATTTGAGAGGGGAGGGGGGGGAGGGTTCGCTCTTGGTTGTTAGGAAAGCTCTAAAAATCTATCACTATGGCTCCCTTAAATGCAATATGTGAATTGAATAATCTTGGGTAAGAATTTTTTTATTTTACTATTTTAGAATAAAAATAAGTAAAAAAATAAGTAAATCATGAGGCATTTTAATTCAATAAATTTCGATATGTACATACGTAAAACTAAAATCGGCAATATCACGTCAAAAATATCATTTTTACTCTTTTAAAAAATAAAATACACCTTTTATGCATACTAAAATATCATACATATATAAGATTTATATGGCATGCATGTAAATCTTCCTAAGAATTTTAATATCTTAAAATTTGCATATTGCTATCATGTATTTCTCGTACGCGAGCGTGCACTTGGAGCAAATACAATGTATACGTACGTTCAACGACTGCGATATAGGGGGTATATGAACGTACGTAATATTTTTTCGTGTGCATTTGTGTGTGTATATATATATATATATATATATGTATAGGACCATTTAAATATACCAACAAATTCCTATGTATTTTCATATCTAAAGCCTAAAGTTTACTTTTTTTACATTTATACTACTCTAATCTTTCACATCACATCAAAAGCACCACCATTTTAATTTAAAAAAGTGTAATTCACCTTCTCATGCATTGACAAGGTAGTATAGGAAATTTAGAAGTTAGATATGTAAATATATGGGGATTGAGTGGTATGTATGTAAACTTCCATATATAGTTTTGCATAAAGTCTATAAATGCAGAAGAAGAAAGAAGAGTCTGAAGAGCGTACCTTGCAGAGATGACTGCTGCAGTGAAAAGAGAAGCTAAGCAAGAAGAAGATGGAGCAGTTGCAGAAACTGAAGCTGATCCGAAAGGGAAGAAATTATCGTGGGGAAAGCTTCGTGGAATCGACTCGTTTAATTTTGAGGCTGGAAGAATCCCAAATATTCATGATCATGGCATCAAGGTTTCACATATTTCATTTTTATTAATTCCTGCAAAACATACATATCATCATAAACATCAAAATTTCATTTTCTTATTTTAAGATAATTGTAAAGTAAATAATAGACTGCTCCTCGTCTTCTATTTTTATTTATTTATTTAGGGTCTGTTTGAGACAACTTGTGCGTTTCAGGATAAGCTGCTTATCCTAAAACGCGGCCCACGGGCCGATCGCAGGGGTCGACCCGCGGCCTGCGTTTAGTGTAACTGGTGAAACGCGCGAACCAAACAGTATGACGGCATTTTGAAAACTCCGCCCGCACTTATAAACTGCCCCAAACAGACCCTTAGTTTATTTTTGAAAATCTAAGCATGTTATGGCTTTATTGATATATGGTTTGTAGTTTGTCAATAGTTTTGTGGAGCAGTAAGAATAGTTTCAGGTACTGGAGCTTTCTCATGCTGTTCAAATCTTGATTGAATTGGTATAGATTGGAAAAAAAAAAGTTGCATAATTTACAGAATATCCCTCTAAAAGAAGAATAGTAAATTCATTTTAAATTTTTTGGTTGATTTTGGGCTTCAATTTCATATATCTTTAGAGGCTTTATGTCAAATGTTATATATATATAAAACCATTTTGACAGTCATAAATTTCAACAATCAATTATTTCAAATAAACTTAAGTCTGATCAGGGAGAAAATATTACGTGCGGCAGACCGCATGCCCGAATGACGGTCCCAATGCGGCCACGTCGCCGTGTATCGCACGATGGCCCATCTGAATCGTCGTCCAGCCGTGCGATTGCAGCACGTAATATTTGCTCCAATTTGAGAGGGGTCATCACTATACATCAATCCAATAAAACTTTTTTTAAGCATGTGATAAAAGACTCCTAATATAATAAAAGCATAGCTAAAAGAAAAAAAAATTCAATCCATGATATTACAAGGAACATTTACATACATACCACTCAATTATATTCTCATGTATTTACATATTTAACACCTAAACTTCAATTTTACATATATGTCATTTTTAATCTTAGATATAAATCTCTTGCCACAATTAACACTTTTAACCTTTAAATAATTTGTATTTAAGCAGGTGGGATGGACAAGCACATTTAGTTTGGCATTCCAGAGCATAGGGGTGGTGTATGGAGACATAGGCACTTCACCTCTCTATGTATATTCAAGCACCTTTATTGATGGAATTAAGGAAAAAGATGACATATTGGGGGTTCTATCCCTTATTCTTTATACCTTAATAATCATACCCTTGATCAAATATGTTTTCATTGTGCTGTGGGCAAATGATGATGGTGATGGTGAGTGTATTTCTTCTCGCGCAAAGTGTCAAAATAGTACCCTGACCATTTAAATGGTGTTATTTTAGTCCCATAGTCTTTAAAAGTATCAAATTTAGCTCTAAAATCTTTTAATATGACTAAAGTGCCAAAATAGTCCCCGAGTATTTATATGGGTTGTTTTACCCTCAGAGTTTATAGAAATGCCAAAAATAGTCCCCAATTACTTTAAAATTAAGTTATAATAGTCCTATGTTGGGAGGACAATTTAAACCCCAAATTCATGAGCTTGTAGACTAATTCGACGCTTCTATAAACTCGGGGACTAAAACGGTCCCATGTAAATAATCAGGGTCTATTTTGTCACTTTACTCCTTTTAATATGGGTTAAAATAGTCCCTTTAGCCTTCGTTTAAAGAGTTTGGGGACTAAATTGACACTTTTATAGACTTTGGGACTAAAATGACCCTCTACAAAAAGTCAATGGACCATTCTGACACTTTTATCATTCCGTACGTCTCTATTTTTTGTAATTTGTTATTTTTAAATTGAAAGAATAACTTAACAGTAGATCTATGGCTCTCAAATAAAGAAAGAACAATAAACACTTAGTGCAGAAGTTGAATGAAAGTCATTTGGGTAATTTAAACACATACCACCCAATTTCTACATATGTATCTAACTACCATCCAAATCTCTCATATCACATAAAAAGGATCAGCATTTTAACTTTTTAAAAACTAAGATGCATATTTTCAAGCATAGGTAAGACGCCACATATGTAAAAATTGAAATTTAGACATTAAATATGTTAGTACATAAAGAAATGAGTGATATGTCGTGATATGTCATAAACTTTCCAAATTATTTCTCTCAAATGTATATTAAGAAATAAAATTATACCTATCTGAATAAAAATTGAGTAAAGGAGGAACCTTTTTGTTTCTGCAGGAGGGACATTTGCTCTTTACTCCCTGATATCTCGGCATGTAAAGATCAGCTTGATACCAAACCAGCAGGCTGAAGATGCAATGCTTTCAAACTACAGATTAGAAACACCATCCAAGAGTTTAAAAAGAGCTCAATGGATTAAAAATAAGCTGGAGAGCCGCAAATCGCTGCAAATTGGGCTTTTACTTATCACAATACTCGCAACATCGATGATAATTGGTGACGGTGTATTGACTCCAGCTATTTCTGGTATTTACATATCTAACACCTAAACCATACTTTGTTACATTAATACATGTGGGCATATTAAGTGCATTAATTACTTCATTAACCATTTTCATCAGCTTTGAAGTTGTTTTTTTTTTTTAATTGATGGGAGACTTTTGGCACTTGACTGTTATTTAACTAAAGTTTATTCTTGCAAGTTAATTCTTGCACATTATGTATTCTTTGTCCATATTGATTAGTAGATTATATAATCTTTTTATGGTATTGATTAGTAGATAATATAATTGATTTTTCGAAAATGATGTTCTTTACTACTAAGTTTAGAATTTCAAAAGAACCTTTTTTTTACAATACATGTTGTTTAATCCAAAACCGTCCTGGAGACATACCCAAGCAATGTAGAGTAGCGCAAAGGAAAGAAGAAGATAGTAGAAGACAATAAAAGCATATCACCTTTTGATTATGAGGATCCCTTATTTATACATACAGTATTACAGTCTTATGAAACTACAGGTCAACCCCCTCATCATTAGATTTTGATGAGCCCTTTAGTAAATTACAAAATTATTAAATATGATAAGATTGGGTGTCCCACATAACCGACAGCAGGCTTAGCAATCGCTCCTCCTGAATACCTTTGTCAGCATCTGATCAATAGCAGAGTCATCGACGGCTGGTTCAGAGAGGATCGACCGTCATCCCAAAAGACATGGATCTTTGGAATGCTTGAAGTCGTACATCCTATTTGGAGTCAGTCGATGACTTGTTGCAGTTGTTCGAACCATGTATCGGTCGTCTGAATGCCGTCGGTCATTGGGGCCCGCGGTTGATTGTTTTTTATATCCTCTACTCTCCTGGCCTCTAGCTTGTTTCGAGATCGTGCTGACATATTTTTCGTGTACACATACCAACATCTTATATGATAAATTTAAAAATGTTCTAAAGGAGGGATACCAGAGTTTCTCTACAAATAATGGACTGGATTTCAGCATAAGCATGACACTATACAAACTTAATTTGAGCTAGGATGAAAAGAGTCTGTCATACTTCAGCAGCAAAAAATTTCAGGCGTTTGATATGGAGAAGTTCAAATTCAATATAAAACATGAAAGAATTTAGAAATCATTCCTCAATTCATTTTCAGTATATTTGTATTTCGATGGATTTGGCCGAATTTCAAATACATACCTCTATGCAAAGTGTTGCCGGCCGTTACATGCCGCCACCGCCGATGCCGGCCACGAACTCCGGCAATCGCCTCCGCTGCCGGACACCACCGTCGTCACCTCCGTTGACCACCACCGTGACTGTCGCCTCCAACCCCCGGCCGCCCCCCGCCGCCCCCCCCGTGGCCCCCCCCCGTGATTGCCCCCCCCACCCACCGCCACTGCTGCTGCTGGTCACCGTCGCCACCACTAATTTAAAAATGACATCACATATATTTTGAAGTACATTGTTTTCATTTTACTTCAAATAGAAAAAAATAAAAAAATAAATAATAAATAAACAGAAGTCTTAGGTTTATATTATTTCAACCACATTAATTTTATTTCAACCAAATTATTCTAAAATATTTCAAATAAAATACATTATCATTATTTTTTTAGCGGACCAAACGACTCCCTTCATTTATTTATTTTGCAGTACTTTCAGCAGTGAGTGGGATAAAGGAGAAAGCAACGTCTCTGTCACAAGGTATGATTCATGCAATATTTTGTAGCAATGTGAGAGATAGAAGATTGCAGTAGTAAACCTAGAATTCTAAAGTTACATATACATACATACTACCCAATTCTTATGTATTTACATATCTAACACATATACTTTATTTATTACATTTATACCACCCAAATCTTTTATATCACATCAAAAGTACCACCATTTTAGCTTTTAAAAAGTGAAACACACCTTTTCACGCACAAGTAGGATGGCATGTATGTAAAAATTGATGTTTAAGAGATAGATAAGTAAATACATAGGAATTGAGTGGAATGTATGTAAATTCTCCTATTCTAAATTACATTTCAATTATGAATTCGCAGGACAAATTGCTTTGATCTCCATCGTTATCTTGGTGCTTGTGTTCTCCGTTCAACGTTTCGGCACGGATAAAGTTGGATACACATTCGCACCTATCATTGTTCTGTGGTTTAGTCTAATTGGTGGAATTGGGGTCTATAATTTAGTTAAATATGATGTTCGGGTTCTTCGGGCATTCAACCCGAAGTATATTGTTGACTATTTCAGAAGAAATGGAAAAAAAGCATGGACCTCTCTAGGGGGTATTGTGTTATGCATTACAGGTAATTCTGCAAAATGTCATATTGCTCACAAGCCTCAATATGTTTCTTTGTTGAGCTACAGTGTACTGAAGTTTGTAAATTTAAATAGGAACTGAAGCCATGTTTGCTGATCTCAGTCACTTCAGCGTTAGAGCAATTCAGGTACTACTGTCTGTGCTATGGTGTTCCATTAATTTTTATACAATAATAGTGTTTTCGTATTTAATTTTAGGGAAATTTACATACCACAAAATTCTCATGCATTTACATATCGTACACCTAAAGCTTGATATTTACATTTATAACAACCTGGTACTAGAAAACTATGCATGAAAATGTGCATTTAGGGGCAGTGGTATTTTTTTCTTACGTGATGTCAAAAATTGAAGTTTTATGTATGTAAATATGTAAGTTTAGATGTTAGATACAAAAATATATAAGAATTGCGCCGAATGTATGTAAATTCCCCATAATTTTTTCTTCTAAATAAAAATTCAATTGGCATGCAACCAAAATATTCTTGTTTGCATTATTCATGGAGATTTTGTGTCATAATTGTTGCTTCTTTATGATGCTAGTTTGTTCCTCTGTCATTTTGACATGTAAAACTAAAAATCATTAACCTAGATTTTTTTTGCAATGACAGATTAGCTTTACCGCAGTTTTGTTTCCAGCAGTATCATTGGCCTACATTGGACAAGCTTCATATCTAACCAAATTTCCAGAAGAAGTTCATGACACTTTCTATAAATCAATTCCAGGTATGATGAGTCCCAAATATTATTACACCACTCACTTCCTATGTAATTACATATCAAACACGTAAAACTCCAATTTTTATGTATATGCCAACTTACCTATACATGAGAATGTGTATTTCACTTTAAAAGTTAAAATCGTGGTGTTTTTGATTTGATATGAAAGATTTGGGTGATATTAATGTAACCAGTAAAACTTAGGTGTTAGATATCTAAATACAAAAGAATTGGGCGGGCGGTAACTAGTATGTATGCAAATGCCCCAAAGTTATTTACATAATTACAAAACCAACTAATATCGTTAAATTAAACTTGCAGGCCCACTATTCTGGCCAAGTTTTATAATTGCAATTGCAGCTGCAATAATTGCAAGCCAGGCCATGATATCCGGAGCATTCTCAATTATTCAACAATCTCAAGGTCTATCTTGCTTTCCAAGAGTAAGAGTTGTTCATACTTCTGCAGAGTATGAGGGGCAAGTATACATTCCAGAGATAAATTATGCGCTAATGGTTGCCAGTGTGTTGGTGACTGGGATTTTCAGAAGCACAACGCACATTGGAAATGCATATGGTAAGATAGAGATAAGAAAAGTGCCAAAATGATACCCTAACTCTTTGTCGGGAGTAATCTTAGTCGTAGTCTATAACAATACTAATTTAGGCTCCAATTGGGGCAGCTGCGGCTTATTAAGAAGTTGTTGTGAAGCTGTTGAAGAATAATCTGATATTGCAAAAAACTGCGGTGACTATTACAAATTTTTTTTTTTAAAAAAAAGTCGGACTGCAGCTAGAAAGCTCCCACGGCGCCTAGCCAGGAGCGGTGGGAACATGCTAGTTTCAGCAACAACTTTTTGAAAATACAGTCAAAATACAGTTTACCCAAAATGCCAAAACAGCAGTGCAGAGTCGCATCGCCGCCGCACTGCTGCGTCAAACGGAGCCTATGCCCACCATTGGGGCGCTAAAATCATGGGGCATTCACATGCATACCACCCAATTCCTATGTTTTTACATATCTAACAACTAAACTATATTTTTTTACATTTATACCACCCAAATATTTCATATCATATAAAAAATACCACAATTTCAACTTTTAAAAAGTGAAATACAATTTTCATGATATGTAAAGTGACATACCTGTAAAAGTTACAGTCTAGGTGGTAGATATGTAAATACAAAGGAATTAAATGGCATGTATGCACATCTTCCTAAAATTCATTCGCAAGATAATTTTTTACTGTTCCATTGCGCAGGAATTGCAGTAGTTTCCGTTATGCTAATAACAACCGCATTGGTGACACTGGTAATGCTTCTAATCTGGAAGACAAGCATATGGTGGATTTCATTGTTTGTGATAACTGTAGGTGGAGTGGAAGCCATATATTTATCTGCAGTTCTATCCAAGTTTGTGAAAGGGGGCTTTCTTCCTCTAGCTTTTGCGTTTTTTCTAATGGTGATAATGGGAATATGGCATTATGTTCATGTCCAGCACTACAAATTTGAACTGGAGAACAAAGTTTCAAGTAATTTCATACAAGATTTAGCTTCTGATAGAAGCATAACAAGAATACCTGGAATCGGGCTTCTGTACTCAGAGCTTGTCCAAGGAATCCCGCCGATATTCCGTCAGTTCATCGACAAGATACCTTCCATCCACTCCGTCTTCGTCTTCGTTTCAGTGAAACATATTCCGATCAGTAAAGTGGAACCCCACGAACGTTTCCTCTTCCGTCAACTTGAGCCGAGAGAGTTCAGGCTGTTCAAATGCGTGGTGCGTTATGGTTACAGAGATGCCAAAGAGACGGCCATGGACTTCGAGAAATCACTCATCAAACAACTAAAGGAATTCGTCTACCATGAATTCTTCATTCGAGAGGGCAATCAGTCATTCCCAAACTGTCAGTTGGAAGAACCGGGAACCGAAACAACAGAAACCAATCGGAGGATAGCACGAATGGCACCAGATGAAACCCTAAAACCACAAGGCTCGGCTGGTAGCGATTCATCAGGATCAATACGTCCTGCTAACAGTAACCGATCGGGAAACTCTTCAGGAATCAGAGCTGCAGCGCTGATCCCGGCAATTGAGGAGGAGAAACAGTTCATTCAGAAGGAGATGGAGAGGGGGGTGGTGTATCTGCTCGGAGAAACGGAAATGGTGGCGAAGCCGAGTTCTTCCATCATCAAAAGAGCGGTAGTGAACAATATGTATCAGTTTATTAAGAGGAACTTCAGGCAGGGAGATGAGGCCATGTCCATTCCTAAGTCTAGGCTGCTCAAGGTTGGAGTGACATATGAGATATAGAGAACACTTTGATGCCTCCTCCTTCTTTAGATCCAAGAAATATTACGTGCGGATAAGATAGATAAATATGAATATGTATGAATTTGATGATATCATAGTAGTATTCATCATAATATCACCAAATATCACCAATATGCAGATGTAGATTCCGCAAATAATATACTCTTTCAGGTGATATGAGATTTTAAAGAGCATACTTATTGTGGGAATACAAAATATGTTTCAACATCCCTAAACTCACCTAGATATCATTTCTTCATTTGCTTTGGTTTAACGGCGTCTTCAGATGCTCTCGAAAAGCTGCAATTAACTATGAAGTTTCTGATGAAATTACAACAGTTATATAAACAAATGCCTTAATATTTTTTGCATTCAGTTCCATTATAACTTTTAAGTAATGGGTTTCACATTCTTTCTCACTTAAATAATTAATATTCTATAGATTTAAGATGTGACTCTCATCATGTAACATTTTGTCCCATTTAGAATTAAAGATGTGGCTCACATAACGTAACAATTTATTTTGTATAACACTAGTTCTCATATTCATGCTGGTCTAAGGCTGCTGCCATTTGCAAGTATATGCTCTCATCCATCAAACTAATGTTCTCATAAATTTTTCACATCAATGTAACTCTCCAAAAGATCATCCATCTTGAGATCACTCTCGTGCAAACACACTTAAGTTTAAAATTACTCGTAAAATTTCAACTATTAGAACAAAAAATACTTCAATACTTTAAAATATAACTTCATTATACTTCAAAGATTTCATAGTACTATAGATATCTCTCTAGATACCGATCATCATTATTTATATATTATAAATAAAAATAATAATTATTATGCACCTATCCACCTTTTCTTAAATTAAAAAATAAAAAAATTAATAAAATATTGCATAATTCCCATGCCAATTTATGAGCCTAATAGTTATAGTTTGAACTAATTTAAAAAAAAAAAAACAAATTACAATTTAATCAAACATTGAACACACATTTTCTATTTGAATAATCCACTCAATTAGTGAAAAAAAGGTCAATTTTAACTTTTTTATATTTATTTGGAAATTATTATAGATACTACCAAAGGCTCAAATCATAATCTCAAATATGGAGAATAGGTTTGTATTGTGCAACATGATTAGATCAAGCACTGCTAAATGTAAGAAAATAATTAGAGTTTACATGGTAGAAAAATCTCTCTCTCTCTCTCTCTCTCTCTCTCTCTCTCTCTCTCTCTCTCTCTCTCTCTCTCTCTCTCTCTCTCTCTCTCTCTCTCTCTCTCTCTCTCTCTCTCTCTCTCTCTCTCTCTCTCTCTGTATATAGAGATGAAGAGAGAGATTTAAGCCCAACAAAATTTGTAAAAGTGAAAACCCCATTTAACAAATAAAAATAAAAAAAATAAAAAAATGAAAAAAAAAAAGAGTAAATAGAAAAATTGAGGGTTTGTCTGGGGCAACAGCAGTTGTTTGAAGAAGCAACCGTGAAGTAGCTGAAGAAAAAACTGCTATTCAAAAGGCTGCAGTGACTATTTAAATTTTTTTTTTTTTTAAATTCAGAACGCAACTTTCTAGCACCCACCGCAGGTAGTCAAGTCCAGTAGGAAAACGTAATTTTCAGTTGCAGTTTTTAAAAAATGATGGCAAAACGCAAGTTTGTCAAAAAGAAAAAAACTACGGTGCGATACAGCACCTCCACCGCACCGTTGCCCCCAAACGCACCCTGATTTTGTGAAATAATAACCCAAATTCGAATCGATTCGACCAGAACCCAAATCCGAACCCGAAATGATAGCAATAACATGAAGAGGATTTAATCTGAGAAAAGTATGCATCCATACTGTATGGCCTCCGCGTGAACGTTTAAAAGCATTAGTCAGAAACAAGTAGTCACAAATTTGTTCCTGCATTTCACAAGCAAATAAAGGATTAGTGTTAGTTAGCAGGCACCCCTACACG